GGCATTTTCAGGGGTAAAAAAAACTGGGTTTTCACTAAATATTTATATTACATACAATAATTTCTGTGGTAACAAGGTATAAAATCATTTTATTGATGTGGGTTTAATTAAAAATCGGTTAGTTAATAAGTATAAAAAATAAAACTTGCGGAGCGGTACATTTGTTTCTAGTCTTAAAGTTATAACTTTTAAATTAAGCGTGATTTAATGTTTTAAAATGGTTACTTTTAATCTCAGCAAACTTTTTTGGGATGATTTTCCTGCAAGGCATTTTCAAGGCATATTTTCACAACTAAAAATGTATTTGCATGTGCTATATTTTGACAGAGCGAGCTGCTCCTCATTTAAATCGGCGCTCTTTTTTAGTTTTAATTTTTTTAAAATGCTTTTTAAAAAGCATTGCAGTATATTATGCAATAAATTTTTTTTTAATGAAATTGTGTTTTTTATTTTAGTTTTAACGATAGTTATACTTTCATGAGAAAAGTTATACTTTTGGGAGAGCCGTAAATTGCTCCCGTAAACTGTTTTAGGGGAGTATGGGCAAGAGCAAGAGCTAAAGCTCTCACTTCCAACCGAGGCCTGTATATATATTGTCGGTATGCAAGGGAACTGCAAATCCAAATACATCATTTTGAGATAATGAACAAATAAGTTTCTGCGTAATAGTTAAAATAATAATTTTTTGTGTAATTGATAAAATAAAAAATCTTATTAGCTCATAAATAATTGGTTTATTAATGATACTGCCAAAAAAGAACATGCGATTCCCTTGTATACCAACAATGTATATAAGCACACACAAATTGTTTTTACTATGTTTCATAAAAGCACTTATAAGTTTGACATTTTTGCTGGTTTTGCATAAGCTGTAATGTATTATTTTTATATTTTGTATTTAGTAAAGAAATCTCAATCTCGAAGAATCATATAAAAGCAGATTTGTTTATAATTTTAGTAAGTTTATTTTCCATGATACTGTTTATAAATTTCTAAAAAGTTTGTAAAATTCTATATAATATTGGAGCCTACTGTTTTTCAAATAAAAATATTCGGACTAATCAAATTTACGGATTAGTCAGAATTAGTCCAGATGGACCGAAAAAAATACATTAATCTGTTATTTTATTAAAACTGGATATTTTTCTTTTAAATATTGAAATATAAACAAATATTCAATGTCTTGTGAAAAATTCAGCCTAATATTTTGAATGTTTCTTCATTTATAAGCCTATTTCCTCATTTTGCATAGGAGCGACGCATAGTGCGATGATGAAAACTCCGAGATGAAAGCATATAAATAATCAAAAGTAGAAGTAAATGATAAACCTGTACTGACAACTCAGGTTTTAACTGTCTCCGTACCAATGGTGTTAGATTTTATCTGTCTCCGTACCGATGGTGTTAGATTTTATCTGTCTCCGTACCGATGGTGTTAGATTTTAGATGTCAGTTTTATCAGCGGCTTTAGAAAACTTGTTTGCTTACAATTAGTGTCCAGTATGTAAATAATGTTTTACGAGAATAAAAAGCTAGATTTTTTTAAAATTCTAATATTTTTCTTTAGTTATATTTGATTTAGGAAAGTTCAAAATGACAAAACTTTGTAAAGGCAAAATATTATGAATAAACAAAAGGGTTTTGTGTTAACAAAAGCTCTTTGGAACTTGTTAAAAAGATATGTGTTTGCACATAAAAACAATATTTCAAGTAATGATGTAAATAATAATTCTTGTAATAATAATGATGTAAAAAATGATTCTAGCAAAATGTTTAAAGTTATCAAAAGCTTGCGTTAAAAAAAGTAGTAGAGAATTCAGATATACAAATAGATTAATTTTATACATTATTGCTTTAATGGAATCTCAGCCGTTTTAAAAAGATTTAAAAAAAAAACAAGGTTTTTTTCTTTTATTTATAAAAAAATTTGTTTGTAATTTGATATTTTATATTATATCTATACAATATTGCAGTATTTAAGGTCACGACTATTATATTTTATATCTATACAGTCACTATAAGGTCACTAAAAAAAAGTTACACATCTTAAAAACTTGAACAATGCAATGACTACTAAGTATAAATTTTGTAATATTTAACATATATAAACTAACAACAAAGATGGCCGAGATAAATACACGGCCGGACTTGTTGCTTATAAGTCCGAAAATTAGTAATCCAGTTTTTAGTCAAGTTCTTTGTTTGCTTAAAATTTTTGGAATAAAAACAACTTCATTTTATATTTGTTATATTATTTTTTTGTGTAATAAAATGCTTAAAAAGTGCTGCGTAGTTGCTTGTAGAAGCGGTTACGAAATGAAAATAAATGACAATACTGAAGAGAGCTTTTTAACTAAAAAGATATTTAATTTTCACACAGACATAGATTTATGCTCCCGGTTGATCAAGTTTATAAAAAGAGTTAGTTGGAAACAATCTAAACTCTCTAGAAAATGTATGGATCATTTTGAAGAAAAATGTATTAAACATGGCAAATAAATAGAGCATTAAAATATTTATAAAAAAAAAATAAGGTCAGAATCAGGTTTGTTAATTGATGAAATCAACTTGCAAAAAAGTGTTCAAAATTATGGTGGTAAATTTGTTGGAAAAGATGAGAATGAAGAATTTTATACAGGAGTTGTAGTTTTTATGGTTGGTATTAAACGTCCTATACCTTTAGTTGCTGAAACAGGTTTTCTAGAAATTGGTTGATAAGTGAAATTGAGGAGTGTCTAACAAATCTTATTGATGCTAATTTCAAAATTCGTGCTATCATCAGAGACAATCATTCAAGTAATACACTTGCATTTAAAAAACTCATAAAAAGTTACAACTCTACTAAAAACTTTTTTTTTAATTTAATTAAACAAAATAAAGTTTCCATATTATTCAAATTTTCCACGAGTCAACCAAGTTCTGCTATTAAAAGTTATTTTCCAAAAGAAATTAGTGCTGCTAATTTTCTATATTTAATAAATACTTTGTGGACAATTTGAAATTCAAAGATATATAGATATATAATACCAGTAACAAAATAGGAAATGCTGTTGTTGCAAATGATCAAAAACTTGAATTTTTAAATGCTTTTGCTCAATATGTAAGTGAATGGTATAATACAAATTTAAAGGGATGTCACAAATTGTCACTTGCAGCACAGACATCATAAATAATAATGCAAAAAAACTAGAAATAGCGTTACTTTTATTACAAAGTGAAATAGAAGAATATGATATATGAAAAAGTTCAAAGGAAGTTATTATTCATGTTGCTGGATATATAACAAAAAAAGTTAAACTCAAATTTAAATGTTCCTTGCGTCAAGATCTTCTTTAAACTAATAAAATATCTTCACTTTATATGAAAATGCTCTCACGGAAAGGTTTAACTGAACCTAGTGAAAACATGGAGGAAAATGTTTAATCCTAATTTTGCATATTAAACATCAAAAAAGAATTGTTATTAACTAAATAATCCAATAAATTGAAAATTTCAGCTCTAGCTGCACATGAACTGTTCAAAAATTACTAAATGTGTTCTGCCCATTTAAAAACAGAATGATAGTATTTTCACACAACTGTTATTAGTATATTTTATAATAACGAACAATCAATTCAAATAGGAAAGGTTCGAAAAGCTGAAGTAGAAGCCTTTAAAAATCGACACAACAAAAAATAAACTATGTTTATTTTCTTTAGTTTTACTATAGATGCCTTTTTTTTGGTGGACTAAATTTCTTTTTTATGGTGGACTAAATTTTGCTTTTGTATATTTTGTTAAAACTATCTTATTTTTTGATAAGTTATTTTTTTTCCATAGCTGTATTTTTTTTTTTTGCTCATATATTTTTCTCAAGTTATATATTTTGTTAAAATATATTTGCTAACTTTAATATTTGAATTTTATAAGTTTAATAATAATTGAATTGTAAAAACTGGCCTACCAGTTTTATACAGACTTGTTGTTTTATACGGACTTGTTGCTTGCCAGTCCTTTCCGGACTTGCAAGCAACAAGTCCGACTGTGTAATTAATTAGGCTATGTAACAATTTTGTAAATGCGTTATTTGCAAATGTATAATAAATTTTGTTATAAATAAATAAATGAATAATAATACTATTTAGATTCTTTTGTTACGTTTTTCACGTATTTACACACCTACCAAATTTCAAAGATATTTCGTTTTTTACATGTACACTAATTATGATAATTAATTTCTAATTTCTCCGACGTTATCGTGCGAGACTGGTTAAATTAATATATGATATTTTTCATATATTCGATTTATATAAACAACAGCTTTTTTAAAAATAGAAGATAACTTATGGTTTTATATATTATTTCATTTCTTCGTAATTTGAAATAAAAATATATTTCTTAATTTAAATTTTGTGTTTTTAATATTTCCTTACTATATTTAAATAAATGCCATTCCAAGAAACCGGTCGTACCTTTTAAAGATTAACCTCTAGATGTTAATCTTTAAAATATCAGAGGCGATTCTACAAATAAAATAAGGAAGGTGGGGGGGGGGGGGGAGAGAGCTCTCTTCCCCCCCCCCCCCTCACCTTCCTTATTTTATTTGTAGAATCGCCTCCGATAACATATAATGTAAACAATTGAATAATTTATTATTCTAGTTTATATGCTCAAAGTAGACCGATTCAGACAGCCAATCATCATTTATTTTATTTATTCAGTAACCTTTAACTATTTTTTTTTTTAATATTTTATTATTGTTATTTTTCTTTGATGCCGAAGTAAAGGTGAGTTTCCACTTATTCGTTTTTCTACGGAAACGAGATAAAAAAAAGAAAAATAATCGCGTGGGCATGCGTAGTTTTTCTTCGGACATATTAAAACTTATACTACGCATAACCACGTGATTATTTTTCTTTTCCATTTTCCGCTCCGGTAAAATACGGATGAGTAGACTTTAATTTAACACTGCATTTACTAAACTTTTATGACCGAAGTCCGAAAAATGTAATACGAGTATGTAATAAACCATATGCACAGTGATTTTTTTTATTTTACTTTTTTAACTTTTTTTATAAAACACAGATTTTGTTGCTTCTTTGATTTACCAATTAAGTTTTCCGTTATTCCATTTAATCCGTTGAATCCAAGATTCGTTGCTATATTTTCGAAAAAAGAATCCTTCTTGATTTCCTGAAAAAATATTTTAACTATTATTTTATTTTACTTTTGATCTTGTTTACCCATATTTCTATAGTTATGTTTCAGTACAAAAAACAAAATAAAAAAAAGCTACATATTTACCCATCCATTGGTAATTAAAAAATGTATATATTTTTTCGGTACTACCCTCTAACGTTTTGCATGCATTTTGGTTTATTTTATCAGATATTTCTTTTTTAAAACTGTCATTTGTTGTTGCTAGCCACTTCTTATATACATTATGATATAATAAGTAAGTTTTTTGATTTCGGTGAACTGCATATAAATCTCGTGTTACGTTATGATAGCCAAGAACAGAACCTACTCTCAAATCTAAATCTATATTACAGCGGCAAAATTAAATATGAAATGGAGCATTAACTTAAAAATGAAAGTACAGGGGGTGCGCAAAATATCAAGACAAAATTTAAAATATGAAAAATCAGAATAGGAAGATTATGATAAAAATCAACTAAATCAAATAAATTATACAAAAAGGAGCATTAAAAAACTAATATTGTTCAAAATAACCACTAATATTGTTCAAAATAACCACCTTTTAATAAAATAATAGACTTCAGACGTTCAGGTACTTGCTTACAGGTTTGTCGCAACATTTTATTTTGAAGTTTAGCCCATATCTAGTTCAGTTCTTCTTTTAGGGCCTCTAGATTTTTTCCTTGACTTTATATTTATATTACTGGTTAAATACAAAAAAATATACCTATTACCGGTTAAATGCAAAAAATCATGGGATTAGGTTCATGTAATAAGTATGGCCAAACATGAGGAATTTCACCTAGAAGAAACTCAAATGATTTCTTGGCTTGATGGGCTAGGATAGAATACTGTTAAAGAGCCAATTATTCCTGCTTAAACTTTTTCCTGTACTAGAGAAGCATCTGCTTACTCAAAAATACAGTACAGACTTCTGATTTGATCTTTACACCCTCCGGAAAAATATCTAGGGGTGTTTTAAATCCGTCAGATCCAATCTAATTTAAAATCCCTGCAGGTTGCTGTCTCCATAGAATGGTTCTATTTTCATTTAAAATGTCTGTCATTGTATCAATTCGCTTCAAGCTTAATAGTAAAGAGTTTTTTTATCTAAATAAACCACAGGTTTGCTGTGAGCGAGGAGGAAATTCAACAAAATACGCCCTTGTTTTTTCTGTTTTTCTCTTGTTGCTTAACTCGGGAACTATTGCACGTTTTTAACAAAACTCTTTAGACTTAAATCTTTGTAAATAAGTTTTTACCTTGATTATCTTGAACTAACGGCCTCTCTGACCAGTTCAAAAATTAGGCTGTTGTGATTACGTCGGAACTTGCAATCAACTGCATTCTCAAGTGTTTTTATTCTTGCATTTCTTTTTCGGTCAAATTTTTTTTTTCTAACTTCGTCTCTTCTTGTTTAAAGATCTGTAAGGATTTTGTAAACATTAGATCAGTTTAGTTGTCCGTTTATTTTCTTAGCATATTCTTCTATCTTTAGTCCACCTTTAACAAACTCGAAAAACTCACGGACACAATGCTTCGAAATCTTCCGACATTTTATGCAAAAAAATTTAAAAATTTTCAAAAAATCATTTCATAAATGTTGCATTTAATTTTTTCTAAATTTTCCAATGCAAAATGGTCACACTCGTTCTGCAAAAAAAAGCGAAATTCAATTTTTAAAAATTGTCTCGACGTTTCTCGCACCCCTTTAAATTTGAATGTGATATTAAAACGACTGAAAAAGTGAAATTACATACATACATACATATATATATGTATATACATAATAATAATACATACATATATATATATATATATATATATATATATAAATATATATATATATATATATATATATATATATATATATATATATATATATATATATATATATATATATATATATATATATATATATATATATATATATATGTATATATATACATATATATGCATATATATACATACATATATATGCATATATATACATACATACATATATATATATATATATATATATATATATATATATATATATATATATATATATATATATATATATATATATATATATGTATATATATATATATATATATATATATATATATATATATATATATATATATATATATATATATATATAAATATATATATATATATATATATATATATACATATATATATGTTGTTTATAAACTTTATTGAATAAAAAAAATATCACGGTACCTCTATGATTTATATAATCTGAGTTAGTTTACCTGACCACGTGGCGCCGTTGGTTTTTGAATAGAAGCAAGATACTTTTGAACTAAAATAGATTAAAAAAGTTCAAAAATTGATTTTGATTAAATAAAAAAAATTTTAAATAATAAATGCTGTTTTCAATGACTGAACAAATCAAAATTTTTTTTTTGTTGAAATAATAAATGTTCAATAAGAAATAATTAAAAATAAATTAATACGTAATAATTGAAAATTATGCCTCGTGACGTATAGATTCATACAAACGTAAACAAGAGATTCCAATTCATCGAAGCATGCCCCTCGCCCATAACTCTCTATTAATATTTTAAAAAATATTAAAATTTCAATTTCACTAAAGCAGAAAAGAAATTATTAAAAGTTGTTTTAATATCTGTATTGGTAGTATAATGAAAAGAAAAAAAAACCTTGGAGAGCGCCTTTATCTCTTGCTATTATTGGTTTTATGGTAAAAGAAAAAGATATAAATTTAGCGATTGTTTTGTAGTAACTCCATGAATATCCCGCACTATTTTCAAATGAATATCTTAAGGGTATATCTAAAAAAAAGTCTCCACTTATTGAGCTCGTCATATCTAAAGTTAGATTAATATTGTGAAGAACACCAGTTGACATAAAAGCACCTGATACCTGGAGGTAAAAACATTTATATGGTTGGTAAAATACTAACAAAACTTTGACAAAATTTATAAAAATAAAGTAGCAATATATATATATATATATATATATATATATATATATATATATATATATATATATATATATATATATATATATATATATATATATATATATATATATATATATATATATATATATATATATATATATAGGGGAGAGTCAGGTAGCCCCGGTCATTTAGGAAAAATATAAATTGTGCACATTTGCTAACAGAAAAAAAAAAAGGGTCAAAAGATTTTTTTTTAAAGTTCAAAAATTCATCTATCTAATTACAAACAAAAAAACAATTATTGTGTATCTTAATAATATACAAAACATTACCGCTTTTTTACCAGTGTGACACAAAAGTAATATATAATAATTTAGGATTGGACTGTTTTCGACACATTTTTAAAAAAATCGCCTTTAAAATTTGCCTCTGATATATAAGGAATGAGAATGAAAATGTCTTCGTTTAAAAATATAAACATAAGCTTTTTTTATAATGAAAATAAACACTTTAAAAACACTTTTTTCAAATCAAATATATATATATATTTTTTTTGTAATTAAATGAATTACTGTTATAGGTTTGTGTATTATATTAAATGTATTAATTTTTATATACAAAAAAGTTGTTTATTATTAATATGTAAAGGAATTAAGATGTCCGGAACCACCCTCCAAACATGTGTCCGATACCACCCGATCATACCTCATTCACAAATACTAGTTTTAAAACCAGTGAATTAAAATTTTTAAATTTTTTTTAATAATATTGTAAATAAAAATATATCTTTAATTATTAAAAAGATATTTGTTTACATAAAAATTAGTTATATTATTATGTGAATCAAATATGATGATACGTCGCTCTTGTGGTGGTGGGAAACAAAATCTCAAAAAGTAAATAATTTACTTAGTACTATCGAATGTGATGGAGCAAAAGTGAGATCTATTCGCCGTCTTAAATCTAAAGGAAGCATCGATCCTTTGCTTATCGAGCTTGAAGACGTTAATAACAAAAATATGGTTCTTAAAGCATCAATTAAATTAAGAAAAAATAAAAAATATGAAAATGTGTATATAAATCGCGATCTAACAGCAAGTCAAAGATTCATTCTAAAAAATAAATTAATAGAACGAAACGAAAAAAATGTGTTAAGAAGTGAACAAGAAAAAGTTAAATTTAATTAAGGTATTAGAAATGACAATCTTACTCGATTTTTTCACAAATAGCCACTAGCAACCATTAATTTAGTAACGTCATCAAAAGTATCTCCCCCAAAAAAGACAAATATTGACTATACTCAAATAAAATCTCAACTTATTCAAGATCAACTTCTCAACAAAAAATTCAAATTTTATTTTGCCCGACTATAAAGCCATTAGTTTTTAACTTAAGTCTTTAAAAACAGGCGGTGGTATGTGTCTATGTGCTTGATGAATTTACTTATAAAATTAGATATGACCTGTCGTTCTCTGAGCCGGATTTTGAATCTTTCACTTTAAAAATTTATAAATAATTCATCTAAAAATATTACTGTGACAACTACATACCGACCACCAAACGGATGTTTAAACAATTTTCAAAATCACTTAAGTGATTATTTTGAAATAGGATGCAAAAAGAAAAGAACGCTCATTTTTATTTCTTGGAGATTATAACGTCGACTATTTAAAATATAGTACAACAATTTCACGATAGCTTTAATAAGTTTGGAATGATACCTATAATAAATAAATCAATGAGAATAACACAAAACTCTTGTTCTGCAATCGACAATATTTTCACAAATACACTCTTCCATTTCACAGCAGGCATCATCAGAAGTGACATAACCGACCATTTTTCAGTCTTTTGCAATTTTCAAAAAACCAAAAGATATACAAAATAGGACTGGTACTTCAAAAAAAGAATCTTTACAACCTGAGCAAAAAACATGTTTAAACTGGAGCTATCGACTGTAAATTGGAGTTTTTTTTTTTTTTTGAGACATGTACAAATAACAGCTACAACCTTTTATTAGATAAATTTTCAATTTGTACAATAAGCATTTTCCTAAAAACCAATCCGTATTAAAACTAAAGGACTTCTTAATCCTTGGTTCACTAAAAGCCTTTTAAAGTCTTCGAAGTGAAAACAAAAGCTATATATACGCTTTATAAAATTAAAAAAAGAACGTGATAAGCATAATTACTTTAGCAAATAGTAACTAAAAACAAGAACTAAAAAAATAGCCTACATACTTCGAAAACAAGCTGTTAAAACTAAAAGGTAACTGCAAAAAAAAGTCGGATGCTATTAAAGAGATTTTTGGAAAACAAAAAAAACACAAAAAAGTCTTACTGTAGACGGCACACAGATCTCCGATGTAAAATCGGTGGCAACAAAATTTAATGAGTTTTTCGTAAATATTGGTCCAAACTTAGCCAGCAAAATTAAACACACTCCTGCACATTTCTTGAGCTATCTATCAAAGTCGGATAAAAGCTTTGCATTTAAAAAACTCACTAGGAAAGAACTTGATGACGCAATAAAAAAATTAAATAAAAATAAAGCAACAGGGTATGATTCTATTTCAGCAAGCATAATCAAAGACTGCTATGAACTTATTAAAGATATTTTATTAGATATTTTTAACAAATCGCTCAACAGGTGTTTTTCCAGAAAAAATGAAAGTTGCAATTATTACACCCATTTTTAAATCAAGAGATGAAAGTCTGGTTACAAATTATCGACCTATATTGGTATTAACTGTATTTTCAAAAATCCTCGAACGTCTCATGTATAATAGGATATTTGCATTTTTGTATGAAAACGATCTTCTTTATTGTTATCAATATGGCTTTCGATCAAATTACTCTATGGAACATGCACTTATGCAACTTGTTGAAGTTATCAGTGGTGCATCTTCTCATAACAAGTTCACCTTAGGTATATTCCTAGACTTGTCAAAAGCATTTGACACCAATAACCATCAGATTTTATTAGAAAAACTAAAATATTATGGAATAAACCACGAATACCAGAAATGGTTTACCAGTTACTTAACTGATCGAAAGCAGTTTATTTCTCTAAATGATGGCTTTCAGACAAACAAACTTAAAATATCATGTGGGGCTTCACAAGGCTCCATCTTAGGACCGCTGCTGTTCTTAATCTATGTCAACAATCTATATAAAGCATCAAATACTATGTCTAATATTATGTTTGCAGACGACACACTTTATTCTATTCTCACAGTAATATTATCTCTCTATTTTAAGTAGCAAATAATGAACTAGAACAAATATCAAACTGACTTATAGCTAACATCCTATCTTTAAACACTGATAAAACTAAGTTTTCCTTATTCCATTCTAAACGAAAGTTTCAATCTATTCCAAAATCCTTACCAATGCTATATATAAATAACATCAAAATTGAGCGCTCGTTCACAAATAAATTACTTTGTAATTTAATAGACGATAACTTATCCTAGAGAGATCATAATAAACATATTAGCAATAAAATCTCAAGAAGTATTGGCATCTTTTATAAAACCAGACAAATCTTAGACAAATCTACACTAACTGAACTATATTTTGCATTCATAAATAGTTATTTATCTTATGGCAATATTGTTTGGGGTACTAAAAATAAATCTAAAATCAACTGTCTCCTTAAAGAATAGAATCATGCAGCACGCATTATTCATTTTCAAAATCGCTTCACAAATGCTAAACCTCTTCTAAAAAGCATGAGGGCACTTGATATTTATGAATTAAATATTATCAAAATTACACAATTTAAGTTTCAAAATATATCGATAAAAATGCCTAAGGTTTTCAAAAATATTTTCCATAAAACGTTAAACCGATACAACACGCGATCTACCGAAAGATTTAAAAAACCTTTCCATACGTTAAAACTTACGAATTTTGCCATTTCCTATCGTGGCCCAATGCTTAGAACCATTTTACAAGCCTGAGTGGTAAACTTAAAGAAGCCAATACCTCTCAAAAATTTAAAAAGAACATAATTGAACTTATCGCCAATCACGATTCTTTACATGATTTTTTCTAACAATACACTTTTATTTCTAATTTTTATTATCAAAGGTTACTGATGATAAGGTTTTATTTTCTTCCGATATTTCCGATAAAATATTTTTAAATATTTTATCGGAAATTGCCTTTAATTGTAAATGGTTGCTCAACAAAAAAAAAAAAAAAAAAAAAATAGTAAAAAAATAATGGCTTCTTTAAATTAAGTTGTAAATCAAGTAACCGGAGTTACCTGCCGTCCGGAGCTACCCGACTTTCCCCTATATATATATATATATATATATATATATATATATATATATATATATATATATATATATATATATATATATATATATATATATATATATATATATATATATATATATATATATATATATATATATATATATATATATATATATACATATATATATATATATATATATATATATATATATATATATATATATATATATATATATATATATATATATATATATATATATTTATATATATATTTATATATATATACATTTGATATATATATATATACTTTTGATTATGTTTATATTTATATATTTATATATTTATATATATATATATATATATTGATTATGTTTATATATAAATATATATATATATATATATATATATATATATATATATATATATATATATATATATATATATATATATATATATATATATATATATATATATATATATATACATATATAATATATATATATATATATATATATATATATATATATTTATATATATATATATATATATATATATATATATATATGTATATATGTATGTATATATATGTATATATATATATATATATATATATATATATTATATATATATATATATATATATATATATATATATATATACTTTTGATTATGTTTATATTTATATATATATATATATATATATATATATATATATATATATATATATATATATATATATATATACTTTTGATTATATTTATATTTATATTTTTATATATATATATATTGATTATGTTTATATATATATATATATATATATATATATATATATATATATATATATATATATATATATATATATATATATATATATATATATACTTTTGATTATATTTATATTTATATTTTTATATATATATATATTGATTATGTTTATATATATATATATATATATATATATATATATATATATATATATATATATATATATATATATATATATATATATATATATATATATATATATATATATATATGTAGTTATAATTACAAACTTTATTTGATCTATAACAAATTAGAGTTATACCATATATATGGAGTCACTTTTGATTATGTTTCTTGCTTCACTGTCAATAACTGTTTTTGCAAATGGGGGTAAAGTATACTGCCACGATACATTGTAAGCAACTTCTCCAGGTTCATAGATATAATTAATCAAAGTGATCAATTTTAAGATAGTTCTTTAAAAAGTAATGACTTATTTATAAAAACTTCAAACAAAACCATCAAAAGTCACTAAACTGAAAAACAAGTATTACCTGTTTATAAGAAAACCATCGTATTCTACTTTTATTAAGGGTTTGCAGTTTTGACATCTTTCTTAAAGTTAATAATACACTGTATAAATAATATTTTAACTAGATATAAAAATTTAGACTAGGCAAAAGTGGTTAATACTTGTGTTAAGTAATTATGCTTATAAGAATTAATAGAAGATATAATCATTATTAAAGTAGATGAGGTAAAAGATTTGAATAGATGAGATAATATATTCGGATAGATGATTTCAAATTCAGATAAATCAAACAAATTCATATTAAGATATTTCTAAAAATTAAATTTAGAAATATTTTTATATAAATTAATATAATTAATATAAAAACGCCCATAAATTTTTACTAATTAAAGTAATACGCGATAAGACTGTAAAGAATATTAGGACCCAAGGATAATAAGGCTCGCCCTGAAAATGTCTGAAGAACACCTCCTTACTTTTTTATCTCTATAAATAGATCTTCTATGTTCTATAAAAGTTTTACGTTAAGTTTACACTATGTTCTATAATAGAATAATTTTTTTCGTTTTGACAAGTAGGAGAAACAAATTGTTTCTCCTACTTGTCAAAATCTAAATTATGAAAAGTGATTACTCTGATTACTTATAGACTATTTTTGAGGAGAGGTATTTCTGTTTTTTGAGGAGAGGTATTTCTGTTTTTTGAGGAGAGGTATTTCTGTTTTTTGAGGAGAGGTATTTCTGTTTTTTGAGGAGAGGTATTTCTGTTTTTTGAGGAGAGGTATTTCTGTTTTTTGAGGAGAGGTATTTCTGTTTTTTGAGGAGAGGTATTTCTGTTTTTTGAGAAGAGGTAATTCTATTGTTTTAGGAGAGGTAGTTCTGTTTTATGAGGAGAGGTTTTTCTGGGTTTTAGTATGTAAATATTGATTTTAAAATTGTTAGGATTCCTTCACAAAATTTAATGTCTAAATTATAAAAAAAAAAACTCTTGCACCTTTTTGCAATAATTTAACTTTTTATTTTAGTTTTAAGCATAAGATTTTTTTATATAACAAAATATAATAACAAAAATCTAAAGGATTACTAAACTTTGAAAATATGGCCTTAATTGCCTAGAATTATTAAATTTGAAAATAAGAAGTTAAGTAAACTTTAATAAAGCCTTTAAATTACTTTTATAATACTGTTAAAAATAAAGTTTTTAACGTGTTTCAAATGAAGTGTTTTTTTTTTACAAAGACTTTTTTTTGAAATATGGTTTTTTCACACATTAGAATGTAATAACCTATTGAGTCTATAAATTTTTGTACAGATTTTTTGGTTTTTATACGGGTATGCTTTCACAGACTTTTAAAAACATTCACCGCGTCCAGGAAAGTTATCTTCTTTTTAATACTTACTCCAAAACTGAATATCTTTTAATCTTAATTTCCTGATATAAGAAGAGGGTTTCAGTGGATAGTTTTATGCTTTTTAGTCTGGTTGACAATGGAATCAGAATCAGAGGCGGCTCTAAGAATAAAAAAAGGGGTAGGGGGAGCTAACCCTTAAAAAGTTCTAACTGCTTCTTTTTTTAAATAAAGTCCTTTAAACTAAAAATCACCTAACTCAAATGTGTCAAATAGCCGCTATATATTCCTCAAAAAACCAACTTTATTCCTCAAAAAACTGACTACAACTTGCTTTCTATGAAGGATTTGGCAACCCACGCACCCCCATTTCCCGTAGAATTACCCCTGCATAAAATATTACTTAATTGCAGAACAAACTTTAAGTTTTATTGAAATCACGAGGTCTATGTATAATCATTCTCTTTTTGTTAAAAAAAGAATCTCTAGTGAGGACATTTACAAAGTATGCTTGTGTAACTGCATTGAACATTTTTAATGTAGCAACAAATTCCCATCATTAATTTGATTTTAGCATTTTTAAATAATTCTTCTAGAAAATTGTTTGAGTGATGTCTACATTGGCGTCTATTACACTCCTAATCAAGCGTTGGTGGCCTTATATGCTAAGTTTATTTGATCAGAAGTAGCTTTCAAATAACAGAGTTGCTTTGGATAAGGATGATTAATAATCAATTAATTAGCCTGTCGGTAGTTCCAAAAATTGTTTTATTGAGACAAGAAAATTTATTAGGATACATTTATATAATTAAAAGTTTACATTTACATAATTTTGGTCATTGAGTCATCATATAATGAAGCAAAATCAATTTCTTCTTGCTGGTAACATATCTTATACTTTATGACAACACAAAAAGTATCTTTAGGACAAGATTAGTGATTTTCAAGCGTTGTGTACATGCAAAAGCATAAACAATTGGAATAAAGTTTAAAATTTAAAAATCTTTACTTTAAAAACAAAGTTAAAACTTTTAATTGTAAATTTAAAAAAATTACTTTCCACGCAATTTAAATGAAGTAATTTTTTTTAAAAATTTTAAAAAATTACTTTTTTAAAATTTTTTTAGAATTTTTTAAATTTTGAATTTGAATAAAACTTTTTTAAATTATTCTGATTTGGATTTGAGTAAAAAATTTCACTTTTTTGCAAATATTTAACAACTTATAACTTAAGTGAAAACTAGTGAAAACTGAGTAAACACAAAAATTTCCTGGTTTATAAAATACTTTTGAAAATACTAAGTGTATATAACTCTTTTGAACATCGCTAAAACCTTTTTAAGGGATTGTGTAAGTCATATCCATATAAAAACCAAAAAGCTAATAAAAAAACTTTTGTTTCCTTTCAATTATATCTGCGCAGCTTTTTTTTTAAATAAACATAAAACTCTATATGCTTTAAATATTATAGTGCCAAATTTTGAATTCTAAAGGTGTGATATGGGTGTAAAATAAGGGTGCAAAATGGTTGTTTGTGTGAATGAGTGTGTCTAAATAACCTTAACCATCTTAATGAAATCAATATAAAAACTAATTCTTACCGGGGCACGTATTTTTTATTATCAAGTTTCTAACAAATCCAGGTTGAGCATCATACCATGGATCGCCTAAGTATACATTTACTCGATTAAATATCATTGGGATTTCATTTTCAATGGTATAAATTTGATTCCCTGCTAGTTCAATTGTATATATATACTTTTGTTCAATACTGAGTTGTGATATCGCAATACTCATCCAGTTATTTATCAAAGGCAAACTTAAATAATCAAAAACAAAGTCAACGTAGCCATTTATTGATGAGCTAAAGTACAAACTGTTATAATATGAAATCCATAATCCTGGGTTTCTGTCTCCATATGTACTTGCATCTCCACCAATAGTTAAATGTAAAATACTAGTGTATTTATTGATAAATGAAGTTAGCAGCAGGTCAAATGACAAATGATATTCTTTTGGTACAGTGGTTAAATTTGTAACAAGCTGGAATCTTTTTAATGGAGTATCATTGACAATAGTAAAAGATTCTATAACAACATGAATTTTTTAATACAGATGATACTATAAATAAAACATTCAAATAAAATGGTTCCTATTAAATTACAATACAACATTAAAACTTATAATCATATAACTAATTTAATACCGTAAAATTGTGTTTTTTTTTTTAAATAAAGAAATATTTATTTAAAAATTTATTTTAAACTAGAGAAGTTTAAAAAAGGCCTTTGTGCAAAAGATTATTTATTCGTGATTATCGTATTGCTGTAGCGGAGTTATTTTGTAAAGAAAACAAACTGTTTCAAATATCTTAATGTTTTAGAAAACTCTTTTTCCTGGTAATGATTAAATACTGTCTAACTATATTAACTTATATTTGTTAAACTATTTTACCTGCTTTATATTGTCTTAAAAATTATCAAAAAATACCCCATTACCCCATTGTGAACTAGCTAGCCACTAGCTAGCGACATTTGTAGCGATTAATAGAATTTGATTAGCTGGCAAAAAATTTTATTACCATATTTTATTGCAACTATTTAAACTAAGCTACATTATTCTGCTATTACTTCATGTAATTATTAATTTATTATTTATATATTTTTTTTTTTTTACCGACCAACTAGAGATAACTGAAGCTGAAACCAGACTTACACAGGGCCCTAGAAGGCGGCTTTATTAGGGAGCCGAAACTCCGCGTATGGCCCACTTAAAGGTTTATAAGTTGCCACGCAGCCGAAACTGAGCAGCACCCACTTAAAGGTTTATCTTCATTTAACGTCCGGAGTAGACGGATTGCCTTAAGATTTCCGGACGTAGAAGGAGACACTAAAAAAGCGACTACGCCAAGAACCTTTATCGACTGTCATGGTTTCAAACTTGTGCTGTTTCTGCTTTCTAACAACACCGTAAACAATTGAGGGATGGTCCGGAGCTGAAATAAGAACAGATACTACACTTGATCTTAGCCATTAGACCGAGAAGCGTTTTATCAATTATCACGCATTGAGTGATAATTGATAAAACGTGATAATTATCAATTTTATCACGCATTGAGTTAAGTTGTTAACCAACTTAACTCAATGCGTGTTTAAATATGGAAACTCCAGATATACATTTATAAAAAATTCAGTTTTTTTATTTTTTGCTTGTGACTGTATCTTTTTTTTTAATAATTTTAGTAGTTTTATCTTAAACAATCACGCTAATAGCTACAGTATGTTGCTATCAAGATATCGTTTTAAAGTTCCTAATTTAACACATGCGATATGTATATACGTATGTATATGCAAATATAACCTCCTAGTAGCTATAAAATTATCGTTTTGTAGTAGCTACCAACAAAGTTACAATATGTAACTATGGATGTATTGTGACAATATAGCTAGTTAAAAAGTTACAATATGTAGATATCGACCACTTTTAGATTTGTCGTTATTTTGTAACTAGATTCATACAAACTTTAGATACCAATATACTGCAAAAATATTTTAGAGCAACAAATTTACAAAAAGTAGCCTTCACCTACACTAAATATTACTACTTTATCATTAAGTTGTGTCTAGTTACTATGCTACAATTTTTAGCCAACTATATTGTAGTAATATTGATAGCTACAAAGCTGCAATATTGACGAGCTGCGATATCAATAGCAACATGTCTATAAAATTGCAACGTTAAAAGTTCAATTATTTTCATAAATTAGATTAAATACAAATTAGATTAAGTACTAATTGTTGAGTTTTCTAAGACATAAAAAAATTGAAACAATAATGTAAGATAAAAAATAGCTCGGAAATTGCTATATAGCTAGCTATTCACTAGCTGGTCGTTAGCTAATGAATGAGCACCCTATTAGTATTAGCTAAATGAGCACCCCATTAGTATTAGAAATATAATTCTTAGTTATATACTTAACACTATAAGATATTTTTTAAGTTACTAATTTAAAAAATTTAATTTTAATTTAATAAAAATTGAAACTGAATTCCGACACTTTAAGACTTTGATAATTATATCTAATAAAAAACCTCGATCAACAAAAGTTATAATAAAATCTAATATCACATGTTATGTGATATCATGTTTTCATTTTATTACTGTTTAAAAATTTTTTTAGTTTATATTACTACGCTAACCCTATGTTTTGTACGGACTTATCCGTAAAAAAAAAGATAGAGTTATTCAAACCATTACAGCGGATTCAACGATATGAAAACCAAAAATATAATAATTAATTAAAGTTGTAAAAATTTTTAAAACTTTACCTTCACACGTGTTTTCGATAACCAAATTTCTTAAAGTTCCTGGTTGTAGTTTGGTAATTAACGGATCACCTAAGTATACTTTTACACCAAAAAACTCTTGCGGAAATGCGTTATGTGCTCTATAAACATTGATGTCAGATATATTAATTGTAAAAATATATTGTTGCTGAAAAATAATTTGTGATATTGTAATTTTTGTCCAAACGTTTAGTGGAATTGTTGTCAATGAAGTGAAATTTGCTGTTGTGCCATTTAGTACAAATCTAAAGTACAATTGATTTTTAGAAGTGAAACCTACTCCAGGATTTTTTTCTACTAAATAATTTATTGTTCCATTTGTAAAATGAATAACTTTTGTCAAATTATTTTTATATGCAGTTGGCTGCAATTCAAATGAAATTTTGTATTCTTTTGGCAAGCTTTTCAAAAACGCCACGAGCTTAAAGTCGAGATTTGTATGGTTAGCCATAAACGATGTAAATGATTCTACAATATAAAGTTAAATATATTCAAACTCTATTTAAAATAAAAGTTTATTTTAACTTACAACAGTAAGTTTAACGAGTTTTTATTTTAGTTAAAGAGAAACGTGACTTTTTGACAAAAAAATTTTATATAGCAAATAATAGTTATCATTCTAATATTTTTAAAGAATCATAAAATTTATTGGAATCTTTTATTAAGTTAAAGACAAACAAATTATTTAAAATATACTTATATCTCAGCTAGCACACACACATAGGCCCAATCTATGTAAAATCATTGCAAACGTCGGCCGTTTTTTTATATGCAAATCAACGTTGATTTAATGTCATGTGTTTAGCAATGATATTAATAAAAAGATCAGTACCGACGCAATTACAAACAACTTGCACAGTTATATTGATTCAACGTACGTAAAAACATAGCAAAAGTTAATCTAAACCTAAACTTTGATCCAGTGTGTATAATCCAACGTTGATTCATTGAGGATGGATTAATTTAAAATAAAAATTCTCTATTATTAAAAAAGTTATTTCATACTCTCTCTTAATGAGTATGAAACAGACTTTTCTTTTTTTTTAAAGAATATGTCACCTATACGATATGATAACGTTTATAATATAGCTATCTCAAACAAAACTTACATTGCCAGGCCTTTAATCCATATTATAAAACTTTCAATAAATAAAAGCATTTTCCTGGAAGCATCAAAATGTCCCACTTACAAAAATAATGATTAAAAAGAAATCTCTTATTTTTAACCTGTATTAATACTTTCTAAAAAAAAAAAAAAAAGCGTACGCATATTTTCATTTTTAAGTCACTTTATTTTTTAAGTGTAATAATCAACTTCAAATACGTACAATTACGTGTAATTTATTTTTTCCTAGTTTTTTTTTCCTATTTTTTTACTTTTAGTATTATTTTTCTTACTTGCATAGAATAAAAATTTTAGGCGTGTTTCTAGACGAAAATGTAACCTGAAGGAAACATATAGGTGTAGTGTGAAACTGACGTAATTATACGTATAATTACGTATAATTACGTCAATTTCATCCTCCCCAGCCTCCTTCTAAAACCCGCCACTGCCGAACAGGCAATAATTGAATTAGTAGACCAAATTACTGAAGGACTTGAAAATAATAACTTCATTTAGGATTAATTATTGACCTATCAAAAGCGTTTATTACAGCTGATCACCTCATTTTTTTAGAAAAAATAAAACACTACGGAATGTTAAATAAAAAGCTACGCTGATATATAAACATGTCTTCAAAAGTCATGTTGTATTTTAGAAGAAGCAAAATTTTGAAAAAGTTAAAAAATAATAGTTATTTTGTGTACAAATTATCAATTTAGATACTTTGTAAAAATACCAAAGTTTCATAAAATAAAATAATTAATTTTCTTAAGCCTTTTTTAAATAATTTTTATTTTGAAATGTTTTATAAAATACAATTATTATTGTTTATTTATATTTGTTAAACACCCACTATATATAGTACAAGTAAACTAAATAAAGTTGCAACGATAACGATTAAAGATAAACGAAGTACTATCAACTTTATATTTTTTCTTTAAGAGTATCCTTAAAAATTTTCAAGTTCATTTTTATCATTAGGATCTTTTCTGATTGCGAAATATTTTTTTTATCCTTGAATTTCTGAGTATTCAACTTTTTCTCTGATTGCTTGATGGCTGATCTGATTCATTTCACATTTTTGTAAACCTTTCTTCTGAATTGAAGATTCCTTCTTTAATTAAATACAAAGCTCATTGGAAAGTAGCAGTAATTTAAAGTAGTAGACGACTTTCAATGATGCCAAAAAAATTGCCAAGTGAGTTTTATTAAAAATGAAAATGATGTAAGGGTTAGAAAAAAATTAGAAATGGAAAACAACATCTTTCTATACTTTATTGAAGAAAAGTAATTGATTCCCGATAAATCTTATTCAGCAGTTTGTTCTATCTTTTTTTTTTTTTTTTTTTTTTTTACAATTTTTGCCAATAAAAAAGTTTACAGTCGTAACTTATAAAAAAAATATTTACATGACCGGGGCTAGAAGAAGACAAATTTAGTCTTATCATTAAGCCCCAAAAAACGCGTCATTATTAGACAAAATATAGTTTAACAATAAAATATACTTTCAATGTATATATCTCTGATTTATATTATAAAAGAAAATGTAAATTTATTGCATATCGTTTAAAATTTGTAGTTTTTCAAAGAATAAAATTTAAGAATTGTTTTTTGAAATAAAAGAAACAAAATTTAATAAAAAAATTAAAATGACAATAACGACATTTAAGAATCGGTTAAAAAAATAAGAAGATTTGATTTTATATAAAAAACATATTATTGTTAAAGCAGTTTAAAGTTTAACTTATTTAATTATATTTGTAATACTTTTACATTGCCAATAAAGTAAAAGCAAATAAACAGTAAAAATAAAAATAAAAGATGAATAAATAACGCTAAAATAAAAAATAAATTTCTCAAATAGAAGATTATTATTTAAAATAATAAAAATATATGTAAATACGTTGATTAATTATGTGTTAATATTTTAAAGTAATAAATTAATTAACTATTAATGATTGATTTCTAATTTAAAGATGCTTCACTAGAAAAAATTTAATTCATTTTCAGTTAACAAAAGTAATTGCTTAAGTTTTGTTTTGAATTGGTTTATAGAATAATTAGTTTTCAGTTCATTTTTTAATTTTTTTTTTTTTTTTTTTTTTTTTGCCGTTTTATATATTAACAATAAAGACATATTACATTTATAAAAATTCGCCGGAGCAAGAAGAAGACAATGACTGTCTTATCACCGAGCCCCGTTTACAAAATGTCCAAGTTTATAAACAAATATGAATAAAATATACACAAAAACGTTAAAGAGTACATAGCTTTTGTCAAACAATAAAATAACAATTATATTAAAAATTTAAAAATAAAGTTTTGTATACTAATACAAATATATTTGATACATATAACAAAATATATTTAGTGCTAATGGAAGCGATTTTTCAATTTTAAAATTACCTTTTAAAAAAAATATTAAAAATATTAAAAAAATATTAAAAAAATAAAAAAAAAAAGTCTATTGAATTAAAATCTAATTGAAGTAAGATTCTTTTAGAAACTGTTTTAAACTTTTCTAAAGAGTAGTGTTCTTTATTAAAGTTTTTAATAAAATTTTTCCATAAAAAAGGTCCTTGATTTTGAATTCGATAAAAAATTATTTTTAAATTAATTCTCGGAACAATAAAGTTATCCTCTGAAAACTTTGTTGGATACTTATGAGGTATTTTGCTAAAATAAGATTGAAATGTAAGTGGAGATATTCCATGTTTCATTTTAAACATGAAAAGTAATGTTTGGTAAATGTTTAGTTTATAAATGTTTAAGGCCTTGAGACGATTTAATAGCGGTTCGCAATAAACAGTTCTGTTTGCCTAATCCTCTAAGCTTGCTTTTATTTACTATAAAGTTTTTTGAATTTTCCGTATTTCGTACTTCCCCATGCAATGTTGCAGTAAGAAAGATAGCTGTGAATAAATGAAAAATAAATTTTTATTAGAGCTTTTGCGTTTAAAAATGGTTTTGTTTTATAAAGTACGGAAATATTATTAGAGATTTCACTTTCAATAGACTGGATGTGAAACTTCCATGACAAGGTTTCATCAAGAATTACGCCTAAAAAGTTAACAGTAGATTCCCTTTTTACATCTGTTTTATTGAATAAAAGATTTGGCAGTTTAAGTGGAATATTATCAACTTTATTTGGTTTGTGGAACAGGATTAATTTAGTTTTATCTACATTTAGTAAAAGGTGGTTACTTATAAACCATTCATTTACTTTAGATAATTCTTCATTAAAAATTTTAAAAAGAATTTTTGTATCTCTGTGTGAATAAAACAGATTGGAGTCGTCAGCAAACAATATAAGATATAATTTTTTAGGTGCTAAAAATAAGTCATTTATATACACTAGAAACAATAATGGTCCTAAGATAGATCCTTGAGGAACCCCGAAACTTATAAGTTTTTTTATGGGTTCATTTGTTTCATAGGTTATGCTTTGTTTTCTGTTAGTCAAGTAGTTTTTAAACTAAAGTAAGTTTAAGTTGTTTACTCCATAAAGTTCAAATTTTTTTAAAAGGATTTCATGATTGACAGTGTCAAATGCTTTGGATAAATCAATAAAAACTCCTAATGTAAAATAATCTTTATCAAAAGCATTTGATATATGGTTTACAAGCTCAATTACCGCGTGATCCGTATTATGATTTTTTTTAAATCCAAATTGGTAATTTAAACAAGGTAATACAGAAATAGGTCTGTAGTTTGAAACATTTGTTTTTTCACCCGACTTAAAAATCGGTGTGACTTTGACTATTTTAAGTTTGTCTGGTACAATACCAGACGTTAAGGAGAGATTAAAAATGTGAAACAATAACGGTTCATTAATATCAAAGACTGATTTAACTACATTGACACTGATTTTATCTATGCCTGCACTTTTTTTATTTTTCAGAGAGGAAAAAGCATTATGCAACTCACTTATATTTAAATTTAGTTCTGTCATAACATTATTTGCTGTTTTGAGGTAAGTTTCAGATTTTAAGGTATGGGAAGTGGGGGCATAACCGCATATGGAAGCACAACCGTTTTTTAACATTTCTCTTTGAAAAATATTATCGAATTTGGCAAAAAAAACTACCACACATTAGTAAAACAGTTTTCTTTATTTTTCTTACGTCAAAAAGAGTGCCTGCTATGTTTTTGAGAAGTTGTGCATAATAGTGTATATTTTGATAAAAATATTATATTTACATCATATTTTTAAAGACCTTTTTTTTGAGGATAAAGCAATATTTGATTTTAGAGTTAAAGATATGTGTTATCAGCGTTATTTCATCAAGTAAAAACCATTTTTGATATCAACATAACCTAATAAGCAAGCTATGAAACTGATTTCTTTCTAAAAACTGTCCAC